AGGTAAAATCGTCTGTATTTGTGGTGGATCTCCCAGAGGATCCAGTTGATCTACTTCAGATCAGTTTCTTCTAACTCTGTTTCCATCTCTCAGTGCAGCAGCAGGTGAAACCGTCCCACTGAGCCGCTGTGGGAAGGATTGTGTCCTGCAGCCTGGAGGCAGACGGTTCAGGTTTTAACAGAGTTCAGCGTCTGGTGAAGAGGCAGCAGGACGATTTGGAGTAAATGAGAGACGCGGCGCTGAAAGCTTTTCTCCTCCATGACAGCGGAGCCGCCTGTGTGACGGCACGCTGCGTTTACTTTATCTACCGCAGCTTAGCGAACGCAGCACGCCGCCGTTAGCCTCTACACGTTTAAACGCTGATGCAACACGACATCAAGACTCCAGCTCCTCCTGATCACCTCTGCTGCTGCCGACCAAAACACACAGGCAGCTGGAAATATTGCTGCTTTAAGATCAACATGAAAATAATTCAAATAAATATTTTAAAATTAGAACATTTTCCCAGATCAGTTTCTTTCAGTAAGAACTGATGGAACTGAACAGGAACTGCAGCTGTGAGTCTGTCTGGTGATTTCTGGATAAAAAATCTTGGTTTCTCATTCAGTGGGAAGAAAATGCAGAAATTTACTCAAGTCAGAGCAGAAATACTTCATAATAAAATTACTCAAGTAAAAGTAAAAAGTACAGCGTAGTAAAAATACTCCAACAAGTTTTTTTTTTTTTTTCCCAAAAAGTTACTCAGCTAATAGTTACTATGTGACTCTGGTTCCTTTCCAACCGTCTCGCCCTGCGGATGGAAAACGTTCAAATGTGAGTCGGTTCTTCGTCCCGCCGGATGATGTGAGGTCATCAGAGGTCATCAGAGGTCAGTCAGAGGTCATTAGAGGTCAGTCAGAGGTAATGAGAGGTCATCAGAGGTCAGTCAGAGGTCATCAGAGGTAATCAGAGGTCATCAGAGGTCAGTCAGAGGTCATCAGAGCTTCCTGTCTGGGTTCAGTTTCTGCTCTTTGGATCCATCCAGGCGTTGAGTTGGAGCTGAGGCCGATAAAATCACCTCCACCCATCAGGAAACATCAAGCAGGTCACCGGACGCTGCTGGAAGGGGCAGGTGGTTGCCATGGAGACCACCTGTACCCAGGTCACACCAGGGGGTCAAAGGTTGATCTCAGTGTTAACAGCTTTACTGCATCAACTTCCTGCTTTTCTGACACGATCAAAGTAGAGATGCAACTAAATGATACGATTAATTATTGATTATTAGGTTAGTTAGTACAGAACTGGTTTACAAATATTTATCTCCAAACTAAATATTTGCTTAGCATGATGGTTAAACTGGGGCTCTGTGGGAAGAGTCATTGTCTTGTGATCGGAAGGCTGTGGGTTCGATTCCAGCTTCCTCATGTCGATGTGCCTCTGGGCACTAAACCGATCTGCGTATCGGTGGGTGAATGAGTGAATGTGACTCTAGTGAAAAGCGCTTTGAGCGTCAAAATGACTGGAAAAGCTCCTATCGGCCCATTTAAACTGAAGTTCACCGTTTGCTGCAGATTCTTCACCATCTGCTTGTTCCTCCTCCAGACAACAGATTCTGCTGATTACTGTTTTAAATCCTGCAGCTGGATCACACCTCAGAGGTCAAAGGTCGCCTGTGAGCCTGTCCTGGTTGAACGGCTTACAGGAGGGTTCTGGTCCTGGTTCTGGTCCTGGTTCTTCCTCCCAGGCTACCCTGTAAGCTGAGCATGTGACCCCTGCGTGGCCCCGTACTTTGACTGACCCTCGCTCTGCGTTCGGATTAGAAACTAACTGGATCGGCTGCAGCTACGCTGCTGGGCTCGTTGTGACGCACACAGGAATGTTGACTGTGGTTTTTAATCTGGTATTCAGACTCTGGCTCTCAGTTTTCCGGTTCATGAGTCCAGATCCTGCCGGCAGGTCTGACCTCAGACGCTGGAGGTCAAACTCCGCCATGTTTTCTCTCCCTGCAGCCGGTGAAACGTCTCCAGCTGCAGCAACGACACGCTTTAGGCTCCGATCATTTTCTACAATTGTTCTGTTCCTGAAGAGCCGGACCTGAAACTAACCTTACAGAACCGACTCTGATCCGGTTAACAGTGAAGCAGACGTTATCGATGCTGCAGGGTCTGAACGATGCTGCAGCGCTGCCTTCGCTTCGTTCAGGAACAAAACCTGCCGACGAGGAGAGACGGATCACAGCAGGGGGCGCCGCCAACACGGCCGGGATCCGTCATTCAGGCGCCGTTAAAGACGCAGCGACGCGTCCAGGCTGCTGTTTGGACCAAACATGTTGGAAAAGATGCTGGAGGGAAAACATTCAGCCTGTGAATTAGAGCCTGCAGAGAAATTTAAAAAGAAACAAAGATAAACATTTAAACACGTTATAACAACGAAACACAACATAAAACATATCAGGCTGAGTAAAAACCACAAACGCATAACATTTTCTGAAATGTTACAGAAAAAACAAACCATCATCCTACTTCCTGTCGTCTTCTTTGTCGTTTCCTCCAGTAGTAACATCCGGCTGTCGTGTCTGATGTGAAACAAGTTTCCACTGCAGTTTTATAAAATTAATTTATTGATACGGCTGAAAAACGAGCTCATCCGATCACTAAAACGTTCCATCAAGTTGTTTTTTTTCCAAATTACAGAGTTTTCATTAAGCAAATCTATTTTTGTTATTTCTATTTGTGCAGAAACTGACACTGCAGAGCAAAAGCAGCTTTAAAAAGCAGAAAGTTGCTGCTGCTGGTGCTGCTGGTGCTGCATGGCGGCGCTGAGTTGATCTGAATCTACAGATGATAAAAAGAACAAAACTGAGATTATCACAGATTAAACAGGAGTTATTAAATAATCTGCACTAAATAAACCATCATGACCTCTGACTGGTTTACCTCCACACCTGCTCACCTTCCCAGTAACAAACCTGAGGTCACTGAGCTGATGCTGGTTGCCATGGTTACGGCGCTCAAACAGGAAGTGGTCACCATGGGTCAGAGACTGAGATGTAAATATTATATGTCTGGACCTGGATGCAGGCAGAGTCAGATCTGGTTCAGCAGCAGATTTATTTTCTCTGATTTATTTTTAGGAGCTGAAATGAATTTATTTTCTGAGCGTGACGCTTCCAGGAAGAAAACCGAGAACAAGAGAGAGAAAACAAGCCGGATTGAAACAAAACCTCATCAATAAATCTTTGGTTCGAACCGACAGAAAGGAAGGACAATGAGATGAAGAGCGGGTCGAGCGCTCGTCTAATCCGGCCGTCACGCAGCGGCGGCGGCGGCGGCGGCGGCCTGCAGCGGCGGCGCCGTAATGTGATTTGGTCTGAATTAAAACGCTGGGAATTGGATCTGCGGTAAAAGGCCGTGTCAGGAGGGGAGAAATGAGAACGTCGGCGAACGCAGGAAGATGAACGACTGTCTGGGAGACGGACAGAGGAGGAGGAGGAGAAGCCTTCATCACACCCATGACCTCATCATCACCTTCAGATGGTCGCATGTTTCCTGCAGCCGTTTCAGCCTCGGTTTAAAGGAACTCAGTGTTTCTGTGAATGGAAGTTTGTCCAGATTAGAGGAGTGTTAAATTATTCAGGTTGTATTTGGTCTTTAGTTTCTTGTTATTCCTGGTTTATTGGGAGAGTCTGGATTTTACTTTGAAAGAGTTACTTCCTGTTGAGCCGACTATTCAGGTAGAAAAACAAACTGCAGAAAGATCGACGCAGTTTAGAGGCTTTGGGAGCCGTTTCCACCAATCTGTTAAAAACATGAAATAAATGATCTCAAAATAATGAGATCATTTATTTTATTTTTAACGAGATTCCAAAAGATGCTTTGGTTGGAGAGAAGGAAAGGAAACTGGAGTAAGACAGTTTGGATCTTTGTTTTATGTATTTGCATTATTTTATGTGGCTCAGAGCTGAATATGCAAATATACTTGCTGAAAAGCGGAAGTGGACTACCAAAATAAAAGCTGGGTCTTCTAAATGAGGCTCCTGCTGGTGATCCTGAGCCGTTGAGCGCTGTCGCTGTAGTTTCACTGGAAAACGACTCGTTCTTTATTTTAATCTGAAAAGTTCAACAAAGAAAAGAGGAACTACTGAACTGAATCAGTCACACCAAATGAATCAGTTCATTTAAACGGACTGAAAACTCAGCTGAGAAAACACCCTGAAAGTCACTGAGCCTTTTTATTATCATTTGTTTTTATCAGAACATTTGAACTGACTTCAGGTTAAAATAACCATGAAGTTTATTGGATCTATAAACTCTGTTTAGTTGATCAAATGAGCGACTGCCTTCGCGATTCAACAGCAATGACACGATGAAGAGGAAAATGGTTTCAGCCGGGTGATGGAGGAAAGCAGGATAACGAACGAAGAGGCTGAAGGAAAAAAGGAGACACCGAGTCGATGTCTCCAGCCGTGTGAATAAACGGAGACCTGAGGTGGACGACGTCCGTTTGAAGAATCACCATCGGCTCTCCTGGCCAAGCAAAGCGAAACGTGTCGATGGGTTCAGTGAAGACGGGAAGTTAGAAGAAACATGGAGGAAGGAAAATAATGTGAGCTGTGCGACACATCATTTTCAAAGAGTTTTTTACAGCGTAGAACAACAGCATATTTATGAAAACATTACCGACACCAGACTCCCTCTAGTGGTCTGGAGGACTTCTGTTTTGTGGAGAAAGTTTGCAGCGTTTCACATTTCAGTTTCTTTTCCATTTGTGGAATTTTCCTCTTTTGCTTTTCTTTTCTGTGGTTAAAAATTTCGTTTTGTTTGCAGCATTTTTCTGTTGCTTTTTAATTGTTTTGAATTTGTGTCATTCGTGTGTTTTTCCGTTTGAGTCCATGAAATTTTTTTTGCAGCTCCATTCATCGAATTTGTTATGGGAAAACAATATGATCAAAATTATACTATATCTTGTGACTCGCAGAACACAATCTGCAATTTTCTGAAGGAGTAACAGTTAATCTGTGTCTGTGACAAACATGAGGTTTTTTTTTCAAAGATATCATTTGTTTTGGATCAACTGGGGCAAAACTGAAAATACAAGACAGTTTTTAAATGTGTGACTTAAGAAATGACATTTCTGTTTTTGTTCTTAAGAATTTCATGAAAGACTGAAAAAACTCTAGAATTACCAAACTAGAGGATTTTTCTCTGACTTCAACTTCCCAGTTACAATCAATATTTTTGCACCAAAAGTTCTTCCATACAGGAGCAGGTGATAGTGTGAGAAGGAAAGAAGGACAAAGTACAGGATGGAAAACCTGCAAAGGGAAAAGATTTCCTGGAATTCAAAATACAGGAATAAATGTCAACAAGTCAAAACTTTACCAGAAAGAAATGTTTTAAAATAATAATTTCTGTTAATTTTTTACACCATTTCTGATTTGCTTGAGCCAAACTCTAAATAAGAGACAGAATGTGAAAAATAGTGATGAATGAATAAGACACTGCAGTCAAATGCTGCCCTCTATGGGTCAGCAGCGTAACTACATGTTATCAGACAGATTCATGTGGACCAGACTACTTCCTGGTTTGGATGGTTTTCCTCTCTAAATGCTCAGGGTTTTTCCAGGAAGTAAAACTGTTTGGCTGTCACCCTGCTCTCTGAACTCTGAATGTTTGAATCTCTGCTGCCGGGATAAAACTGTTTGTATTTTTGCAGAATCCTGAACAGACGTTGGATACCAGTGGCTGATCCTGAGCAGCAGATCCAGACCTTCGTCATTTTGTTTCTGTGCAGGCAGTGGCTCCTGCTTACCAAGGCGCCTCACACAGGATTTCCATGCGATCCGCGCTCTGCTTCGTGATGATGCATGAACTGATGTTTCTGTGTGAGACGCTCTGAGGAGCGATGGGACTCAATGAAGCACAAAATGATTCCTACAAACTTTTCCCTCCCGGCTGCAGCGTTCATAAATCAGCTGACTGAAGCTCTGCAGGGGGAAGGAAATAAATGTGTTGCTTTGTTATCCGTCAGATCTGTCATTTATCATCATGTTGCTGCTGCAGAGATGAGCTGAGCGCTACCTGGACTCCTGCGTCGGCCTGAATCCATCACAGCGACTCGGAGATGAGTTACTGCAGCAGCAGATCTGTTCGCACCATCAGCTTCATCCCAGTGAGGAGCAGCAGCGACGCTCCGGCACAAACAGAGAACATCCAGATGTTCCTGAGGTGAAACCAGACGGAGCGCCGGCCTGCGGGAAGAGATCAGATCCACATGAAGGAGCCGGACGGAGAACAAATGAAAAACGAAACGAAAATAAAACTTTTAACAGCGAAACATTAGGAGTTTAAACACCGATCTGGGTGGGAAGAGAAAAGAACCAGACAGACGAATCAGATCATCACAGGTTGGAGAAATGAAGCTGATGAGCAGAGAGGATACACTGCAAAAACCAAAGTATTAGTTTCAACTGAAAATATCTTAATACAGTGGAGAAAATGTCTCGTAAGTGAAATAATGAAACTAGAAGCTTTTTCATTAACATTCAGGGATTAATGACTTCAAATAAGCTCATATTTCTTTCTGACAAGTTATCTAAGTTAGTTTCCTCTGATTTCAACTGTATTAAGATATTTGTGCCTGAGACTAGACCAATAATACTTAATATTTTTGTTAGAGACGACAAACAGAAACACCTGAAACCAAACTCAAATCTAAGCAATCATCTAAATGAATAAATAAAAGGAACCAAACACAAACAATCATAAACAGAAAACATCTAATAAAACATAAAAAATCCATCAGAAAGCAGCAAAACTTGCCTTTACACCATGTTACTTTAATACTTTAGTTTTTATCTTCCAATAAAACATAGAAATGTGAAGATAGAGCAGCGAAAAGCATCTAGTTTGTCTCTAATAGAATCCTCCTGCTGACACCAACCTGCAGACGTTTTTATTTCAGGCCTTTGATAAATTATTAAAGTTATTTCTTCTTTTTCTGGTGTTTTGAGTCAGAACCTTTCAGAAATGTGAAATTAAAACCTGAGTGACCCGGTTCAGATACGATCTGAATCATTTTTCTCCTGGAGAGCAGCGCGAACCTCCTGAACTCCTCAACCGAGAAACAAAACGCTTCAGCAATGAAACACTTTCTTTCAGGATGCTGCTTTAGATTCACAAAGTGTTTTACATCCTTTATGAACGAGACACAATCTCTGAGTCTCTTTGTCCACAATTTAGGTTTTTAAAAGTCTACAAATCTTCATCAAACTGTTAGCCTGCATTATTCCACTCAGTTTAAATCTCCCTTCCCAGACACTCTGGGTTTTCTCCCATTCACTTGGATTTTCTACTGAACAAATCAGTGAACAGGAGACGTTGTGACCAATGATCTGCGGCGTTTTAGGATCGTCTGTCTGCAGGTTTCGTGACGGCAGCAGAGGAAGTGAAGGAAACCGAGTCGCCTCGTCTGGATCAGAGCTTCTGTCTTCACAGAGGAGGAGGTTACTTACAGACAACACCGCAAAACTCAAAATGTTACCCAGACGTTTTGTCCAGCATGCAGACATCTTAGTGCGCTTGAAAAAAGACAAACTGACTTCAAAGTAACTTGTTTGAAAAGGAAAAGCACGAGTTCTACTGGAAGAGTACTTCAGAACACTTTTCATTTATCTGCTGATGGAACTAAAACTTGTTCATCGATATTAAGGAATTATTTACTTTAAACAAGCCTCTACATTTTGCTAAAAAGTTACTTTTAAGCTAGTTTGTCTTATTTCAGGAGTACTAAACTATTTGCACTAGAAACTAAACCAAAGTTGCTTGGAAATATTTTGCATTTTTGCAGTGAATGTCCAGTTTTGTCGTAGCGTTGAACTGGTTCATTTCATAACCAAACGTTAGCGATTGGGTAAAACGTCAACAGGAAGCCCTCGTTCCTGAGTCCAGGCGTCTGGAGGATGAAGAGCAGGACATCGTCTCTCTGTCCTTTTCTGGAATAAAACCGACTTCTTTGCCGTTTGTCAAGCTCTTCGCCGGTGGAAACAGGATGGCAGCGTCTCCTTCTCTTCCCCAGAAGCTCCAGGTGTCTGAAGATGCGGTTGTCTGGTCAGCTGCGCCGTGGTGAGCAGAGGCGTGTGAAGACGTCTGGCTCAGAGCGAAGCCTGGCCTCCGGTCTGCTGAGTTCCTGCCGCGGCTGCAGGAGGTCCAGCAGTTCGTGTTCCTCCTCTGCCCATCAGCTTCAATCATGGCGTTAATAATGGAGCAGGTGCTTTGCTTTTGTTACCAATCTGTCTTATTTGCCATTCAGTCACTTATGGCTCTTCCTCTGAACTCAGCCGGCCTGCTGGGCATTAATATTGGATGAAGTGGGAGCATAAAAACCTGAGCTGCTCTGACTGGAGGCGCGCCGCTGCTAATGCTCGCTCTCTGGGCTCTGCAGGAATATTAATTACTGTCACAGCATTATGAGTATTATAATGATTCACATAAAGCAGCTTCTGGTGGGACCTGCAAAAGATGAGCAGCTCAAGCTGAAGGGGACAACACATTTCCATCCATGTTCTTATTTTGAAAAATCTGTTAAAACCTCCTCCTTCCTGTTCCTCCCTTCAGCTCTGGATCGCAGATGTTCAGGTGATCTGGACCCAGAACCCAGAACCCGCCTGTGTCCGGTTCCGGCCACCTGAACCCGGCCGAGGCTTTGTTAAAAAGTCTTTATCATGATGGAGGCTGATGGAGGCTGAGCCCGCCTCGCTGCATCAGGGATCGCAGACGGAGGCAGGAAGGCCTGGACCGACGGACGGAGTTTCCTGCTGACCATCAGCAAACGGAGACGATCGTCTGTCAGACCCGTCAGAAACATCTCTGGGTTCTGCAGCTGAAAACTCCAGAGGTAAACGCTCCTCAGTCTGCAGCAAATAAAGCGGCGCTGACGTCACGTCGTTAGCCTGCATTATTCCATTCAGTTTAAATCTCCCTTCCCAGACAGTCTGGGTTTTCTCCCATTCACTTGGATTTTGTGCTGCAGAGGAGGAAAGATGGCCGCCATCATCAGCTGCTGGTTTTTATGTTTCTTCAGACACTTTTTACTTGATTTTCATGAAGCCATTTGCTGCAACACGTCGAGGTACAAAGGAGAAACGGAGGAGTCAGAAAGAGGAGGAGTCAGAAAGAGGAGGAGTCAGGTGACTGTTTCTATGCTCAGGTGAGCAGGGCAGCCATGTCTGACCCGCAGGTTTGGTCAGACAGACAGACCGACAGTCTGCAGACAGACCGACAGACAGTCTGCAGACAGACAAACAGACAGTCTGCAGACAGACAGTCTGCAGACAGACCGACAGACAGTCTGCAGACAGACCGACAGACAGTCTGCAGACAGACAGACAGTCTGCAGACAGACCGACAGACAGTCTGCAGACAGTCTGCAGACAGACAGTCTGCAGACAGACAGACAGTCTGCAGACAGACAGACAGTCTGCAGACAGACAGACAGACAGTCTGCAGACAGACAGACAGTC